TCATGATTGGATATGACAGGCCTCCTGATCAGTTTTGTGGATTCACCAAAATCGTGGGCTGTGTCTTTGAACGAAAACCTTTGGAATGCAGGCGAATGCCAAAGAAGAGGAATCTACCAGCGACAAAGGAACCTCGGGTCACACCGAGTCAGGAGCTTTTACTTGAAAAAAAATTGATGTGCACCTTGTTCCAAAAACTGGCAATGGATCCAATGGCAGATTCCACGTGGCACTACAAGCTGTCATGGATTCCCCGCATCATGGGGAGACCGACTCCCTGAGATCATCAGGCTTGCGTACGTGGCATGGCCGCATATAAGGATGTTCATTTTGCGAATGCCAAACAGGTGGTGAACTCCCCAAACCTATGATTATTTCAGGGAGTGTAGATCTGTTGCCCCCTACCTCTCCCGTGCTGCTTTCCCGTTCCAGGTGAAGAACTGGCAAAGCAACAAACACTGGGAACAAGCCCTGCGCGTCGAACTGTCCGGAACACAGCTGCTCCCTCCACTGCACCACGCGGGATCGGTCGGAAAATGCCTACATTCGGTTCGCGTCCCATCGCGAACCGTTCGTCGTAAGGCCAGGAGCCCCGATCGTAGCGTCCGATCGCTCCGTTCGTAGTCATGCTCTTTGTGACGTTCGTAGCTTCCTCCGTTCGTAGTAAGGCCAGGAGCGCCCCTAATAGCTTCTTGCTCCGTTCGTAGCAATGCCCTCTATACCAATCGGTCAGCAACACCCATTTGCTTAATTTGGTCAGGCATGGGGTTCATTTATGCTCCACATTGGACACACATATGTTTAAACCCAGGACTGGTGTCTGTTGCACATGCATGTTCCCACGATTTCCCACACACGGCACATGCGCAGGGACTAAGTTCTGTAATCTGCTGGAGGAGGGGTCTTTTCCTGCACTCGAGGCCATCGCTCTTAGGTTGGAGGCCATCGCTGGAGGTGTCCTTTTCCTGCACTGTTTGCAAAAGCCAAGAAAGATTCCCGGCACCTCTGCCGGCTCCCCGGCTTCGAGACGAAACCTGCTCCCGCCTCGAACTGGCCTCTGAAGCCGACAGGTGCCGACAGCATGGCGCCAACACCAAAGGACAAAGTCTTTCTTCAACCCTAACCAGGGCCACTGACCTGCATCCAAACAGTCCTTTCTTTCGAATCTGTGAATACAAAAGAAACTACTCCCTGGCACTTTTGAAAATATATGTAATGTCTGAGGTTTCCAGATTCCAGATCAACTTCACTTCTAAACTTGAAGTCTGCCTGTACACCTCGTTTGGGTTACCTGGTCTGTCGTCTCCTTGGTCGTTCGTCTGCCCAAAAAATCACTTCGGCTTGAACCATGGTGAGTCAGACAGGAGTCGTTTTACGCACCTTGGATGTGTCCATCACCAACGCACCAAACTCCCCAGACTCAGATAGTCCAAATGAGTCCGATTCACTATAAAGTTATGTATATATTATATATAACTAGATATATAACTATATAACTAGACTATGTATATATATATCATATGTGGAACACTTGCTGACATCCTGACACAACTCAGCCGGCGCCAGATCTTCTGAAAATTGTGAGAGCCACACTGGCTTTGTGAGCCTCTCCAAGCATTTCATGTATATCAAGGGAAATTCCTAGACTCGGGTCACCTAAAGACCATCTTTTTGATGGTCTTGGACTTCCAAGGGAAAGCGTTGAACCGCCTCGTGGTCGGCTGCGATGCTACCCCGGTCAACTCGCCAGTGGTGCGAACAGTGGGAAAATGTGGTTTCAGAATAGATGCAATGCTGTCGAGGTGCTTTTGCCAGTGGTCCCGACGACAGGGAGGCAAAATGAGTTTAGTATGCCCCCCCTTTATCAAACATCTGTGGAAAAGTCAAGCTTGCAATGCTTCAGGAGTGTCCATTCAGAGTGCATATGGTCAATTTGCAATAAATCGTTTGGATGAGCCCATACCCAAAAATGAACTGAAGTCATTGGGAAGTTCCCGAACTGCTTTCCAGACCAACATACATTCTCTTTACAGGCACGAACGTAGGTTGGAGGCCATCGCTTGTAGGTTGGCTCGCACAACAGGGGGTCGAAGGAGTGGGCGAGTCGGTCAACGACCCACCAAACCCACGGAAATCGGTCCTGAAGAAGTCCAGCGTTCGGTCGTTCGGGCTGTTTTTGAGTGGGTGTGGGTCGGTGTGGGTCGGTGTGGGTGAGGCTTGGGCTAGAGGATGATGGTCCGAAGATGTACATCTACTCATCATGCCAGGTTTTATATAGATGGTTTTAGCACGGTTTATACCACCCTCCGCACCCTCCATCGGACCTGAAGGGCGCTGGTATCTTTGACTTGCAGTGCAGCTGGCTGGAGTGTTCTGGATGAGTGCAATTTGGTGTTACGTCCTGCTCATCCCCACGCCATCTGTTATAATCCTTCCAATCCTTCCTCCAGTGCCAGCAAGCCTGTATTAATGCGGCTGCGCAAAAGAAGTGAAACGATCTCTGTCACTCATGAACTACAGGCAGCCAATCTCACGAAAAAAGGATGCCATCTGCAGCAAAATCCACTACTGTCAAACTGGTCATAGAGTCGGAAACGGTTAAACCAGTCACAGCACAGGCTCCGATTCCAATTTGCGATAGACAATCCGGAAGTATCAAAGTGGTCAAAGAATTGCAGCCATAGAAGGCCTGGTGTCCAATCTCAATCACAGATTCCGGAATTGTCAAAATGGTCAAAGAACTGCAGCCACGAAAGGCTCCGTGTCCAATCTGAGTTACAGATTCCGGAATTTTCAAACTGGTCAAAGAACTGCAGTCGCGGAAGGCTCCGTGTCCAATCTGAGTTACAGAGTCGGGAATTGTCAAACTCGTCAAAGAATCGCAGCCACGGAAGGCTGCATGTCCAATTTGTGTTACAGAGTCCTGAATTGTCAATCTGGCCAAAGATCTGCAGTCAGAAAAGGCTCCATGTCCGATCTCGGTCACGGAGTCTGGAATGCTCAAACTGGTCAGAGAACTGCAGCCACAAAAAGCCCTCTCTCCAATCCGAGTCAGAGAATCCGGAATTGACAAGTGGGTCAAAGAGCTGCAGCCACAGAAGGCTTTGTTGAGGATCTGAGTTACAGAGTCCGGAATTGTTAAACTGGTCAAAGAATTGCACCCATAGAAGGCCAGTTCCCCAATCTTAGTTACGGAGCCTGGAATTGTCAACTGTGTCAAAGAATGACATTCGTAGAATGCCCTGTCTTCAATCTCGGTCGCAGAGTCCCAAATTGTA